AGACTACTTCTTCGAGGCAAGTTTCTATGACTCGTATAATTGAAGAAGAGAAACACTTTAAATTATTTTAGGAAAATCAGAGTCAGTTATACTATTCATAACGGCAGAATAAAACGGTGAATGCTTTGGTGACCATAAACTGGCTGTTAAATGCCATTTTATGACCAGTTTTTTGCCACTTTGAAAGGGAGAAAAAACGAACATTTAACGGCCACATTTATTTGGCATTAGTTAACGCAGTCTAATAAATGGGAGAAAATGCCATTTAATGGTGTCCGTAAAATGATAATTTTTCAGACATTGCCTATAATCTGGCATTATTTTCACCGTTATTTCAAAGTCAAAAAATTGTCATTATAATGGCTGTTAAATGACAATTTTCATTCGATTTTTACACAATTAACAGGCTATTTTTTGGCATACAGTTAACAGGCTGTTAATGGACAATTAAATGACAAGCCATTTATGCTAGAGAACCCTCCCGGATAGACAAATTATGAAAGAGAAAGAGCCATTTATGCTGGAGAGTTAAATGGCTATGCCATTTATGCTAGAAAGACAGCCATTTATGCTAGGAAAAAAGGCATTTGTGCTAGAAATTAGCCATTTATGCTAGAGAACCTTTCCGGATAGGCAACGGTATAGCCATTTATTCGGAAAAAAGTGTGGGTAAGCCATTTATTCTAGAAACGGCGCAATTTATTATTTTCTTAATAAATTGTAAGCCCTCATAGTAACAAATCACTGCAATATGTAATGAATTTTTAGTCCTAATTTTTTTCCCGATGAAGATGGCAGCTCAAAAGCTCAGGTTTTTCTATGGACTATAAATGCTTTCCCGTTTTTGCGATCAAATAAGCTGGATACTTACATAGCTAATATCCTCTTGAGCTATATTTATGTAAACTGCAAGTCTATATTTCTAAGAAATATTCTCAAAGGATAACAACTTTTTATGTGTTGACGTTAATTCAACCTTTTTTGCTTGGCAAAGATTCTTAATCGATTTTTAATGAGCCCTTGAAGATAATATAATCGATCTCTGGGATTACAATATGGCCAAATACTGGTCAAAAACACGTCATAAGTCTCATTCAGACCTATATAACTTAAGCCATGGGAGACATAAAGGAAAAATCAGCCCAGCTGGTCAAGAACAGAGATACAAACACCCAACAAACCAGACCAAACTATCAACTTTCCAAGACTCCTATAAAATGGCTGCTCTCTGACAGTTCGAAACATTGAGATTAAAAGAAATTCTTTACCATTCGAATATTTCAGATGTTTTCAACCAGAGCTGGACAAGTCGGAGGTTTTGCAAGTCACAAGTCGCGTCATCCCGAGAAATTGTTTCTCTCAAGTCAAGTCTGGTTAAAAAATAGGCAGAACATAAAAGTTAAAAAGTCAATCACACCCAAAAAATTTTTCGACCAAGTCGACTTTGACTGAAGGTATTTTTGACTTGACTTGCCCAGCTCTCTGTTCAACGATGAATAAATTTTTTCCTGATGAAGATGGCGCCTCAAAACTAAATTTATATTACTTGTTGAATATAATACTTAGTAGACACTGACGGACAGATATGTGCTACAGTGCTTTGTTTTCTACATCGGATTTCACCTCGAAAATCTCATGTTTCAGCATAAAAAACTCTTTGTATCAAATGTTATCTAAAGTTTAATTTTTAGTTTTGACTGGACAAACTACAGTACTATTTTCAATCCAGAAATAGTCAAAGAAATAACACAGTACAGCTAGTGGTTCACATTTTATGTAACGTAATCCAAGCTTGTAGCGTAGTTTGACAAACTGCGATTGTATATATTGTCTACTAGATCTCTATTCTCTGTCTATATGTTTTTTTAGTATACGGATGATCACAACCACATCACAAACGAAAAGAAAAATGAAAGAATATACCGGCAGCAGTATCAATCAGCTATATATCAAAATGTCATCAATTTATGTTAACCCAGCTACCTAAAAACAGAAACAATTTCTCTTTTTCATTTTTCATTTAATTAATGACTGTCTAACAACACTTAATTGTTTGTCTGCTGAACGTTTGTTCATGATGATGATCAAAGTATGGATGATGCGAGAGGACGTGTCAACAATGTTGTAAACACTTGTTTTCACAAGTTTCCCTTCTACTTTACTTTTTCCTTGTCCACGAACCTCTCTCAGGCTCAACGTCTGGTGTGTTAAAACACTACATTATTTTGGACACACTGCTCACAACAATATAAAATATAAAATACGCAAAATACATTTTTTCGCAATTTTTCATGCGACTCTTGAGAGAAAATTCTTACACATTAAAAATCCAAACTGAAAGCCTAAGTTTCGAGAAAATATGAAAATTTTGCTTATTTCTTAGAATTTCATATATTGTTGCCTCTTTTTAAAAACCAATATTTTGAAAGTTTTTCACCCAAAAGTGACTTCAGAAAACCTAAAACAGACTTTTTTCTATCTAATTCGATGAGGTCTATCCAACTATAGCAGAGAAAAAGGAGAAAAATTCAGCTCCGTTTTAGCCAGAATTTTTAGATTCAGATTGAAAATATACGAATTCATCAAAATTTCTCCATAGATCAGACGTATCATATCACCGACAAAAAATTAAAGTTCATTTAGAGTTAAAGAAAAGTGCTTTTTCGTATTCAGCACACTTGATAACCTGGAGAATTTTCTATTTTTAGCAAATGGTACCGCTAAAAAGTTAAGAAAAATTTTCAAAATTGTATAATTTTACCATGGGAATTTTTCGGCGTCAATTTGTCTGAAAATTTTTCTTAACTTTTTGGCAGTACCCCTTGCTAAAAATAGAAAATTTTCCGGGTTATCAAGTGTACTGAATACGAAAAAGCACTTTTCTTTAAGTCTAAACAAACTTTAATTTTTTTTTATCGGTGATATGGATTTCTACAACTGCTTGTTTTCTCGAGAGAACAAGAAAAATCCTATCATCACATCCATGATAACCTGCTTAACCATTCTTGTCACTCTGCAGTATTATTGTAATAAAAATTGTAATTTTAGCAAAGATCTTGCTCTAATGAAAGCACTTATACAGTTAGTGCCTCATGCTCAAACTGTTGTACTTGAATACTAGCAAATGTAGAGAATTTGAGGAATTCTGAAATAAATGAAAATAAATGAGCCCTTCAGTAAAAAGACAAGAAAAATGTTCTAGTCGAAACAGTAACACCGCCATTTAACATGGACTACCCGATATTTTATATCATTAAAAAGGATCTCAGTATACCAACAAAAAGCCATTTATTCACTAACAAGCTACATTGCATAAGATTATTGGAGCGAGGGAAATCTGCTGATGTCTGGTCAGCTTTGTTCCCGTTCAGTATGCCAGTCCGATCAGCGGGAAAAGTAAACAAATATACCAATATATTTGCAGCAAATCAAAGCCTGGAGACATAATAATTTAAAATTTAATAAAATACTTTGCTTTTACGGACATAGAAATCTGGTGCTGTACGATGATCTTCAAAAGATGGTTGACATAAAAATATTTTGTTTTAATAAGTTGATTAAACAAAAAAGTTAACAACTCCGAAGAGAACTACGTTTTGAGGTAGAGTAAAAGCTGCAGATCATCTAGTACAAACTCTCAAAAATGAAAATGAATTGAAACGCTCAACGAATGAAACGCCTCAACGATTTATAAAGGTATGTAAATGCTTCAACTTTTGTAAGTCAGTTTTCTATACTTAGAATTTATGTTATTTCATATGTACGACCAAATCCCCCTGATGAGACCTCTGGCCAAGGCCGAAACTGTTTACTAAGATAGAGGTAATGTAAAATCTCTCATAAGTTAGCTTGACTTGTCCCACAAATATTTTACTGTCAGCTTGTAAAGCAAACAATTCCCTGCCAAATGATTTATTTGTCACTCTTTTATGGGCTGTGTGTTCAAACATGAGTTACAATGAGTACCATCAGAATCTTTTTCGAACATTTTTTGTTGAAATGATTATTTTCTACACAAGAAGCATAAATGTAATTTGAAACAAGTATCGATGATGTGAGAAGACGTGTCAGTAATGTTGTAAACATTTGTTTTCACAAGTTTCCCTTCTACTTTACTTTTTCCTTGTCCACGAACCTCTCTCAGATTCAACGTTTGTTGTATTAATAATTAACACTGGAAACAAATTTTACAAATATTCAATAAATCTTTAACCGATTAAGATCATACCAGTTGAATTCATTGATGGTTTGTCATTTTTGAACACAAAATATTTGAGTATCTCCATTTTAACTAGATGTATCACACTGGAATTTTTGTTCACCATTTTTAATGAGAATATATATTATCATCATTATTATTTATATATATACATGCAAGAAAAAAAATTCAGTCGAAGCTTTACTATACATATGATCGAAATCAACTAGAATCTTCTAATAAAAAATAGAAATAAAACGTAGTAATACAACTATCAAATAACCATCATCTAAAGACCTTGGAGCAATTTTAAATTACAAATAATAAAGGAACACATTTCATTATCATTCTCTAAAAAATACAAGAAAAATTATATCGATTCAAACACACACACAAACGCTCACACACACATATTGCGTCGAAAGTTGAAGAAAAAAATGCTTATTGCACATTATTAATAGATGATTATTTCTATTTATAGAATATGCTTCTGTTCAACAGGCAAGAAAGTGGGGATAGTAGTAAAGAATTATGAATAAAAGCGGAAGAACCTAATACATAAGCAAATAGAGTCATTCAAACTACTCTTCTTTTATCTTTCTAACAGGCGACACTAGATTTTACTTCTACTTCACGTACGACGCAATCGATGTACTTTTAAATTTTGTTTTTTTGGGTAGTAAAAATGAGATTTAGATGCGATTCGTTATAAATAATTCAACGGAGATATGCACATAGTCAGAACATATGTTGCATGTTGTGTTTTACATAGTAATGTGTAAAAAATGTACAAATGATATTATCATGGTTTATCTTTTGTTGTTGTTGTTCGTTGTTTATCTGTTACGGGTGTTGAACTCGTCGGTGTTGTATTCGTCTTCTTCTCTGTTGATGTTGATGTATTTCCATTTGTTGTTTTATCTTGTAATGGTGTTCTTAATTTTTTCACATCTGATGTTGTTAAGGCTGTTGTCATATTGGTTGGTGATAAAAATACTTTCGATTTTGTTCCGTTATTATTTTTTTGATTTTCAGCGTTGCTTGTTGTTGTTGTTGTTGTTTCATCGATTGATTTTGAAAATCCTGCCTGTCTTGTATTAACATTTGTTTGTGTAGGTGAACGAATAGTTGATTTTGATGGATTATTTGCATCCGTAGTAGACAAATCAAAAGTATTGGCCATAGCCGATGTTTTATTTTCTCGATGTCGTTTTTCATTCACTTTATCGATAATGCGTTTAATATTCCATCCGTTTATATTTCGATCTAATGATCCACTTAACAATAGTGAATAATCTGCTTGTATAGTGAGTGCTGTACACTCTACTGCTCGTAAATGTTGTCTACGTTGTGCGTATAATTTTTCACCTTGAGTTGAATAAAGTCGAATATCTCGATTATCTAACGGTACAGCAATAATATCTTGAGCATAAGACAAACGATTACATGGAGAATTACAATCAATCGATACAAGTGCTGAGCGAATATTTCGTTGATCCCATATGTGAACAAATTCGTCATCGGATGATGATACAACACGTTCATTTCCAATAAACAGAGCACAATTAACGGTTTTAATGTGACCATGAAATATTTGAACACTATGAACAGGTTGCCGACAATCCCATAAACGAAATGTGGCATCACCTAAACACACAAAATAAACATGACAGATTATGAGACACTGCAAAGATTCTTAATTGACATTTAATAAGCCCTTCAGGATAATATAATCGATTTCTGGGATTATGATATGGCCAAATACTGGTCAAAAAAATGTCATAGACCTATCTAACATAAGCCATGGGAGACATAAAGGAAAAATCAGCCCAGACGGTCAAGAAAAGAGATACAGACACCCGACAAACCAGACCAAACTGCCAACTTTCCAAGACTCCTATAAAACGGCTGCTCTCTGGCAGTTCGAAACACTGAGATTAAAAGAAATTCTTTGACATTCGAATATCTCGGATGTTTTCTTACCAGAGCTGGACCAGCCAGAGATTTTGCAAGTCCCAAGTCATCTCTCGAAATTTTTTACTCCGGATCAAGTGAAGTCTGGTTAAAAAATAGAATGTAAAATTTGCTAGCGCCTTTTGGGTGAGAGACAGTTTTTATAGTTTCAGAAACTCTGTTTCATGGTAAAAAAATGCCTAATTTAAACGAAAATCTTGCACTAGAAATGCCTTGACTTTAAAATGTTTTCAAGTCCAGTCACGGTCACGAAAAAAGATCCCTGAACTCAAGTCACACCCAAAAAATTTTATCCGAGTCAAGTCTGACTTGACTTAGGCTTGAGGCATTTTTGCCTTGACTTGCCCAGCTCTCTTTTCAACGATGAACACATTTTTTTTTGGCGTCCGTTAGTCAAGTCCGTTTCCTGTACGATATTAGTTTTCTGATATAACACTTCTTCCTTGTGCTACATAGAATAACGGACAATGGGTTTTACTCTTCTACTGAGTAGTGTTCGCTCTTTTTCATATAACAAACAACTACCACATGAAAAAATATTTCAATATAGCAACTGTTTCACACTCGAACTACTATGGCAAAGGAACAATGACATATAAATTGAATACAAAAATAGAGAAAAAATCGAATCTAATAAAGTAGAAACAAACGATATTACATTACTCATCATCAGTAAATAAAGGAGAAACGTGAAAGAATTAAAAAAGCACGACTAAATAGTTCGGCAAATGTCAACGAAGTATGAAAACGATTTCTAATAATAACATAAGAAGTGTAAACAACTAGTGAAGCAGAAGTTATGTCGAAAACAATAGAATTAGATATGCACTAGTATCGGTATTCATACTGAAATACCGATACCGATAATACTGACTTTTTTCATTTAAAATGAGATAGCGTCCTTTTTTTTTCATAGATTTTACCGTCCTGAACTGACAGAACGCAAAAAACACTCCGCTATGTATTCTGAACATGTACCGATAGAAAATAAAGAAAAACTTTAGCTTTTGAAAGCAAACAAAGCTATTGTTTTATGTCTCTGATTCTTTCCGGGTGTCCAGGACGCTAAACTATCTCATTTCAAATGAAAAAAGCTCAAAACATCTAAATCGAAAAAAGTCAGTATTTTCGATAACTATATACCGATACCGTTGCATATTTAAATAGAATCGATAACTGAAGATCTCAGAATAAAAGTGAGAAAATCTGCGATATTATGTACGATTGATTAATATAGAATAAGATATAATGATTTGACTCAGTCTTAATAACTTGAGAACCGAGTCTAAAATAACCGTTGATGTCAAAAAGAATTTATAGTCATGTTATAGTAGCCTTTGATGATGCGATACTTCTTTAGATGATAAATATAAACTGTTACTGGGAACGAGAATGCATGCCATATCTTAATTCAGTTAATAATAACAAATAGCAAATACTACAAACGCATAAAAAATGATTGAATGCCGTGTTACTTTAACAACTAAATTAGATTCAATTCTAATGAATTTATCTGAATATTCATCACATCTTCAAAATTGAAGTCACATAAATTTTACTAATTACTATGGAATTTTTCTTTAATTATAACTTTTACTATATTTTCCGTTTTAATACTAGCTGCATCACATGAACATACTTATTGGATCAAAGAGATCAATCAAATGTGTTTAAGAGGATGTTAGCTTACGTAGATTCTCTCTTTGTTTGTTTTTTCCGAAATTTGAGGATAGTTATGATCCTTCCCTGACTCAGGTATAAATATATGACACAGTCAGCAATCCTATATGGGAAAAAAACCTTTCAGTTGCATATATAAACTATATTTCCCACACTAATGAAAGAACATGAGATTTTGGCATTGTATTTACAACAATGTATTAACGTACGTGAAGAAGTAATAACAAATGGTTTTGATTGATGACAACAAACATGTGTTAATTCCCCATCATGACCGTATAATGTACGAATTGGTGTGCCAGTATCGGCCTACAATACACACGAAAAAAACAAAATGAATATTAACTTGAAAAATATTTTACAAACTACTTTTATACCTGCCAAAGAATGGCTGATCTATCCCAACTAGCTGAAACAATTTGATCTTGTTGTAACCAATCGGCACACGATATAACATCATCACATTTCAATGTTAACAATGGACTTCGAATTTTATGAATATATGAGAATGATGAAGATGGTGGAGGTTGTAATTCATCTTGAAGTTCATATGAATCATCTAATCCTGTTTGTTCATCTTGACCACTATAAAATTGTTGTCCCAATGTCCATATGTGTAATTCTTGATCACCTGAACATGTCAATATCAGACTTCGACTAATATCTGAATGAAATCGACAGGAATTTACTGAACCAGTATGACCAGTATATTGAATCAGTGGACGACCTAAACCATTAAATTTTGAACAGATAAGATATTTTAATATAAAAATAGTCCACTCATACCTGTCTTTCTCGCCCAAATGATAGCTGTTGAGTCGGCTGATGCTGAGCAATAAAACTGTTGTTGTGCATGAGGTGATAGTTGTACATCCCAAATAACATCTTTATGTTCATTCGATGACGAATATAAAAGATCTTGTAAATGACTCACATTTGTTGTTTGATTACGAATAGTATTTACAATCGATTTTGATATTGCACGATTACGTATCATTGGTAAAAAGTTTGATGCACGCAAACCACTACTTACAGATTTTTTAGATGCATTAATGAGATGATCATCGACAGAGATCGTAGGTGCATGTGGACTAATATAAAAGATTAAAAGAAAAAAAGAATTGATATTTCAATTGTAGAATATTTATACGTTTATACCTGACAATATCTTTTTGATGATTATTATTATTGAAATTCGATGCTGATGGCGTTGTAGTGGATGTATATCGATCTAACTCTTTTCGTAAATGTACATTTTCAATTAAAACATTTTCAAATTCTTTTTCAATCTGAGTTAATAAATGACGTAAACGATATTTGCTTGTATCCGGTAATGATGAGATAGAATGAGGTTGAATAATTGATGAATCATCAAAACTTGGATACATTTCAAGCTCACCCGACATTGTGATTAAAATATTACGTCATCAATAAATTCTAAATGAGATGATTTTTTTTTGTGAGTTAAATAATCATGAAAAAATTATATGGTAAAATAACTTCAGACTCAATTTGAACTTTCCAAGAATAATGTATAGTACTGTGGGATCATATAGTAGAGAAAAATCTCGGTTTTTGGATGAGTCATATTGTACGGAGAGACATATATATATATATCAGTATGAAAGGTTGAAGAATAATAATCATGTCTACACCACTTGTATGTAGTATTTTTAGTGTAAATTTTCTATCATTCAGTCAGATCAGGTATGCCTTCAAGAATATCGTCAATCACAGCTCTCTATCCGTTATCTATTTAACATATTATTCAACAAAACAAAAAATATTCTACTCTCTTTTATTTTTGAAATGAAGTAGAAAAGTACTGATAATTAATTTTTCAGATACAAAAAAGAATTAAGATCATGTACTTGTCTCTCTCTCTCTCTCTTTGTATACTACTATTTTAGCGTTAAAAATTAAATTTAAATAAATTGTAAAAAAGACTTCTTTTTTTTATAATGAGTTATGACATGAACAAACAAACGAAGAAATATAATAATAATTGACATTAATGATAATAATAAATCAATTTTTCTCTTACTGTAACTAGACAGGTTATATATATCATCATGAAAAATATAACAGGAAAAAAAGAGTAAAATGATGACAATTTTTCTCTTATTCTCATAAAATATTTGTTAATAACATGTTGTTAACATGCAAACACTGGGTTATCCTCATCTATTAAGAGATAATTATTCTATGAATCGTAAAATCATCTGACGTACGATATAAATATCTTCATGTCGATGAGAGAAGTCACATTGATATTTCTTTTATCTTTATCCTATGATATTAAGAAATCTTTTAATGCAGAATAAATTGCAATGAGAAGCAAGAACGAATTTCATGTTTATTTTTTAGTAGGATCTTTTTTTCCGCTTTTTCTCAAAAAAAAACTTATCTACGCATAAGATGATTGTTCCTATTTTTCCCAAAAATTCTCGTCCAGATAGATCCTGGAAACGTTGAATTGGTTTTAAAAAATGGAATGTAATACATGCAGCTAGAGATTGCCAGAACTGACTGTTGACATATTTGTATGAGTTATCTTTGACAAATATGAGAAGTCAAATATATCAGAAACTCTCTCGATTAATTTTTAGAGAAAACGTTTGTCTCTTGATTGAAAGAAAAATTTCAAAAATGGAACTCTAACTTACTCTAGATATATATGTGTTAGTTTTAATTTAAAACTCAACCGCAGTACTCAAACATCTAATTCGATGAAGATCTGTGAGAAATACGAAATGGTGTAGAGGAAAAAACACAAAATATTTTGTATATAAATGTTCCAGCACATGTTATACAGCATTGAATTTTTCTTGATTTTTTACTAAATATATCTCACTTTTTTATTTATGTCTCTCATACATCGCTTCCAGAAAAGTCCTAAACACGTGTTTATGAAGACAACAAAAAAGAAAGAAAATGAGTGCAATAGAAAGAGAAGAATTCGAACTATTAAATTAAGTACATTTCTTAAAATCGATATTTTTTTTACGAAAATTGACACTTCTGTCTCACAGAGAAAAGTCTTAAACAAATCGAAACATTATATACTAAAAAAGGAAAAGATCGTAAAGGTAACTGAGCGTGTCATAGGACAAAATGTAATACTCTTAACATATTTGTTCTTTTACTTTGTAAACCCATCAACATAAAAATATCATTTGTTGAGTACCAGTTGGCTTACCTTTAAGCAAATTCAAAAATTTTTCATTTAAATCATAAATTATTTATTAAATACTTTCAAAATTATTCGTTTTATAGTCGTAAAACTATTTTTTTGAAATTCAATTAATTCTCATGTTAATTAATTTCATTTTGTTGATTTTATGAATAAAATATCATCTTTACTATGTTAGACTAATCTGTTTTATGTGTTAAGAATAGAGTAGATATGACGACTAAATCTCATTCACGGATTATATTAATTCATCTAGCGTATAGTACGTACGTGTAGAATCTTAAATATACAAAGATTAGAACACAATATAATAATACGAGAAGTGAATAGTTTACTAATATAAATATTGAATGTCTAGAGTTACATTGTTTTAATTATACCATCGTTTAAAATTTTTTGCTGTTATTTTAAATACAATTATGTCGTTGCTAACTGCTGAAAACTGGTATTATACACGTGGATAGACTATTAGATATCGAATAATGTAAAAATGATCCAAATATTTAATTTATCGTCCATTATTTAATTGAAAAATATGGAAAATAAAAGAAACAATTTGTTTTCTTTCTATAAAGAAGTCAAAATTTGAGTTACTATGGATTTTTGATAGACCGTGATAGACAGAAAAAATTCGAAAAGTCATTTGGGCAACTAGAAGAGTGTCTAATTACAAGGAGTATTTCTCAAAATTTCATCAAATTTGTTGAAAACCGATTGTTTTTTTTATTGGAAAAACAGATCTCTGAATTCGTTTAAAAGTTTTGGGGATCAACTCGGTCCTGTAGAGTAAAAATACTTCTGTTTGTCAGCTCTCCATAGTATTTTTTTTTATCATACTACGATCAATTTACGAAAGACTCCTGATCGTTAAAATCAGTCACACCGATCAAACAGACAGTCTGTAGCCTTTCGTACATGGATCACAGTATGATGAAAAAAATATCATAGAGAGCTGACAAACAGAAATGTTTACGCTATAAGACCGAGTTGTTCTCAAAAAACTTTTGATCAAATTCAAAGACTTTATTTTTTATGATTTTAAGTTTCCTAACAATTCAGACAGAATTTTTCATACATATCATTTTTGATTAAGAACATATTTAACTATTGAAATTATCTTTCGGATTTCCTTAGGCTTTTAAGGCTGAGCAAAAAAGAAATAAAAATAGACAATGGTATAAACTTCTAGCTCCTACTTTGTATGTGATTTGGGGTAACTATGAATAATACAGAACGAATAAAAAACCAACTTCCATCGTCTCACCCTCCCCAAAGTAGTATCATATCAAACAGAAAAGTTGACTAGAACATTGAAATCTATCGTCTATGTAAGAATATCCGAAAAACTAAGAATAAGGACATGTAGAACCTTGATTTTTCTATCATTTCTCACATATATGTAGTAGATCTTCAATGTCTCATTAAAAGTGGAGACTATCTTCTTTAGATAAAAAATTCATGTTAACTTTTCGACGGAAAAAAAAGAAGTACATCGACAACAACAAAACGGTAATTACATTTTTATTTGAACTTAATTATCGATAACTATCAAGAGTGAGAGAAATAAATAAAATACTTTTTCCGTCTTTTCCTATTTATCTTTGTAGTTTACCTGTCAATTCTTTTCATCAACGAAATAGAGAGATAAAAAGCTTATCATTTAATTATCATAAAACCATAAAAGTTCAGTTTTTCGATTTTAATACACGCAAAACACTTTTTCCTTGTTATTTCATTTATATTAGATGACAACAATCTAGATACATAATTCTTAAAGAAAAATTCTGTCTCATGTTTTATTTAAAAAAAACAGTCTTTCATAATAAAAAAAAAAAGAAGAAGAAGAAGAAATTAATTATAAGAAACATGAATATGGATATGCTTCGAGCAATGTGACTGATAAAACAATCTATTAATAGAAATGAAAATAAATTGAAAGAAAAACTTTGTTTTGTTTTGTTTTTTATAAAAAAAGAAAACTCAAAGTCAACTAAAATACACTTAAATGAGAATTTATTTTGCACACATATTATATTTTTTATGAAACAAAAAAAAAATCGATTATATCAACTAAAGTTTTAAATTTTTTTTTATCTATTAAAGCTAAAAATATTATGTTCTTAAAAATAATCTGTCATACTTCATTAACTTAAAGATTATCGTGTCTTTCTGGGTATGTTGAAATTATTTATTTCAACTATATTTTCTTTTCAACACATCACTACATAAAGAACATGTTCTCGTCATTATCTGGATCTTCTCTTCTTTCTCTCTCTTTCTGCCTATCTTCTAATGCGATCACTTACTCTTTGTAAATGAGAAGAATTTGCTTGCATGTTTTAATTCACAACAAAAAAAAGAAACCAGGTGAGATTTCTCTTTTTTTCTCATCTCACAAACATATATACATAAAATGTTCATTTGATGTGAAAAGAAAAGACGAGAGAGAGAAGAAGAAAAGATAAAGTCCATATGTAGTTTGTTGCATAGATATAACGTGACAAGGACAGAGACTTCAAGATTTTTCTTTCATTTTATACAAAAGATCTAAAAACGATATACAAAAAGCAATCATCTTAGTAAAAACGCGAAAGAATTCACTTCAACAATATATTACAATGATATTATAAAAAAAATAGAACTCTTTTCGATTAATAAAAGTAATTTTTGTACAATTCTAACGGATATTCAATTAAAGAATGTTTCTTAGCTAGGGAAATAACTATTCTATAACAGAAATTCGAAAAATTTATACTTTACTGATACAAATAAAGAGATTATTTTTTTTGATCGAAACATATACCGTTCTATTCTATCTGCCATTTCTAGTTCTATCCAGTTGGTAATGATAAAAATTCTTTTTTAATGACCAAGTCACTCCATATCCATTTTATAGGCTGAAAATACTCTCGTATTTGATACTTTTGCAAACAAGTCAAATTAATCAAAAGTAATAAAATTACACATAGTTCACGAGTTAACATTATGTTTCTAATCAGTTCACACCTCATAATGATGGAAGAGAGAACTACCAATAATAAAAAAAAAAAAGAAAAGAACGGAAACTCTTGGAACAATTAACAAAAAAAAGGCTAACTAAAGCGAAAAAAATTTCAAAGAAAAACAAAACAATCTCGAGAAAAACTATTAACTAGTAGTTTAGCACCTTTTTTTCTCTTTTTATTTCTTATTTTCCTAGAGGAAATCCACCTTTGTCTCGTATATCTTTTACTGTCAAAAGAAAAAAAGTACTTACATCAACATGTATGACACAACTACTTGACATTTTATATATAATCAAATAGAATAATGGGAAAATAGTGAGTGTAACCTTGATTACAATTTTCAATCTAAAAAAAATTCTAATGGCTAGCAGATAAAAAATAACGTGATAACATATCAGACGACGATAAAATGTTACAAAATCAACATCATTATCGAAAATTAATTGGTGATAAAATATATCAAATTAATTTCAATGAAAATCTCTTGTTATTTCTAGACCAACTCTACATAGTCAGCACTACAATACCGGAAACTTTATTTTCCTAATTAAAGAGGATGAAGATTGTAAATGTAACAAACGTGACTATGTACATGTCAAATACTTTTATTTCGCTTTTGTTGAATGATAATGATGATGATGATTTATTGCAAAACGTGATCGGACCTATTACCTGCTTTCACGACAAAGTAAAGTGAAAACAAAGTTAGAAAGAGTTACAATATGTTTAAAGAATACAAGAGAGGGAGAAAAAAGATAAAATAAAATAAATAAAAAACACACCGGCTTTTTGACATTGGATATAAGGTAGATAAACAAACAAACAAGAATGTTACAGGTTTAAAAGTCTATTTACAACTGTTTTAATCGGATTCAAACGTAGATGCAAAACGTTTGTTTCATATTTTTTTATCATGACAGAAATAGTTTAATCATTAAGCAAGAAGAGATTTCATGGAGGGCACGAATAGAGAATCAGGATGGAAGACGAAAGAAATTTTTAATCCAGAGTTTTGTACACGTTACAGTTGAACCCAGCTATATTCGGAGACACAGTGTAGGGCAGAAGAAGCATAGATTAAAAGAGAAGGAACAAACGTCTTGTAAATAAAAACAGCAGTATGAGACGCCAATGACTGTCACACACCGAACTAAGAGCACTTAGACGTTTACGTGCACGGAGACACACATCCTTAACATAAGATATGAAAGAGATTAATCTAGTGTAAAATCCAGGTATTTAAAAATATACACTTAATGTAATAAACTTCTATTAATAAATAAAGATACAATTGACTTTCTATCATGCGGACATTTAATGAAAAACGTTGTAACAATTTTTGAGTAACTTATTTGTAAACGCCACTTTTTACTAAAAACAGAAAGTTTGTTACAGAAAACTTGTAAGAACTGTTCACCTTCTTTAACATGGAAACACGAACATATCGCGACGATATTATCAGCGTACATGGAAATATTTACATTAATAGATGAACAGAAAGATGGAAGATCATATAAAAAGAAACAGAGAAAGAATAATTCCTTGGGGTACACCGACTGAGGCAGTCATATAGAAGAGATTTTGCTTTTGAGAGTTGAACAAAAAATTTTCGATTTTTGAAATAAGACCTTAAAATGTTCCCTAGATAAGGGGGGGGACGGGGGACAATTGTTTTGTTTTAGCCTAAAAATAAGAGCGTTACACCAAAGTTTGTCAAAAGCCTTTTCAAAATCGGTAAACAGTCCCACTATTCTTTTACTTTTATTGAAAGATGTTTGAATTTCTTGAATTAAACTTAGCATTTGATATACTGTACATTGATCCCTTCTGAAACCACTCTGTTCTGTAGGAATTAGGTTGTTAGTATCCATCCATGCAATTAGTCTAAGAGCAATTAACCGTTCAAATACTTTAGATAGATTACTAAGAAGACAGACTTACAGGTCTATAACTGTTCAGATCAGTTTTTAACTTATCTTTTTTATGTAACATGCGGATTTCTTGCACTTTACATGAGTCAGGAAAGGTACTTGAGAGTCAGAGGTAATTGAACAGAAAACATAACACAAGCAAAAACGACAATAGAAGGAATGTTATCGTTCTCTGAAGAGAGTTTTGGCTTAACATTTTTAAGAACAGTAGAAATTTCAACTAAAGTGAAAGACGCATCGAATTCACAAAAAGGTGGAAGTAGATGGAAAGAGATCGTTATTATTAACATATTATTCAACGCTATCATAGAAAGAATTATCGAAATCTGCCGCTGGAAGAAAGGATTCCTGAAGTGTCGAAGTGAGAAGGTTGTCCTTTTCTAGATCGTTCATAATTTTTTGATTATTAGTAGGTTTTAGCTGTTTGATTTTTGCTTTTGCTGAATGGACTCGAGATATGATTTTGTTTTTATTCACAGTCTGATGTACTAAAAGAATACTAAACACATCCTTGTTTGACTAAAACTCGATGCATTAAATTTTAAATAGGTAGGAAAAAAAAGCGCTTATAACGTTATTTTTTCACTAATTTGCGGAGAATTGCATGAGGATTTGTGAAAGACAATAAAACTTCTGTTTAATGTTTAAAAATTAGTTGATTTGCTAGTGTCAAACAGTCATTTCTACCTAAAAACTGTACCGATGAACACAAAAATACAAAACACATAGTTTTGTTTTACAGAAGAGCCATTTCACCCAAAGATCAACTTTTGCGTGATCCCGGCACATTTCATAAAACTTATAGTTCTTCAGTCATGTAATGGAGAAAACATCGTATTTATAGCTGAACTATTTTTCTTTCAAATTAAACTCAAGCAAAGGTCATATGATGGCTTGATTTGGAGATGGAATGTGTCAAAATAAAAATAATTTATTTCTAAAACATTGTATGTATTAAGTGAGCTCTTGACTATACTTTTCTTGAGTTTAATTTTAAAAAATATATATTTCAGTTATATAACCACGATATTCTCTAACTCAGTGTTTTTAATGATTAGTGGGACAAGTGAGAACAAAATGGATTTCCACTTTGAATAATGAATTTTCATTCTGCTTTCCACGCTGAGAAAGGAATATTCCACTTTGCTTTTGAGAATTTTCACTTTATCTTTTTTTCATATTTTCTGCCTCAGAAAACTAACCCATCAATCTCTGTTTGTTGAACACATGTGAGCGAGAGAACCAGTATTATTTCTGTTTAATTCTCTAATTTTCATCACAATATGACATGGCTGGTATCTGAAGATTAACATCCACAGAATATTAGCAAAAAGGATTTGTGACTTCTATCTAAACGTATAAAAGATTTGCAGAGCTCAGACGTGTTCAACTTACAGCTATTCGTTTAGTTGCATTTTGTTTTAGATGAGTCATCTAAAATGTTTGTTGTTAAATTTGTAATTGAATCAGGGTAGAGAAGTTAATTTCAATCTATTTAACTGAAAGTGATAAAACAAAACTCCTGTGGTGATAAAAAAAATCTCTTTTAGCCGCTATTAGACAAAAATTTGAACTGTTCCCATTTTGTCCACTTTACATTTCATATCAGAGTGGAAAATTCCACTTTGACGCTAACAGCAAAGTAGAAAGTTCCACTATGAAAAAACACTGCTCCAACTCTGTACGTTACATGAATGAAGAACTATGAGTTTTAGAAAACGTGTTAGAATCACGTAAAACTTGACGTTATAAATGAGGTAACCACTATCGAGTATTCTTCATGTTCTTATTAGAGTTCAAAGTAGAGCTTGCCTCTTCATTTCTTTTTGTTTAGTTGGTCACAAATAATTGACTAATGACAAACTGATGCCACTTATTTATCATTTTCTTCTTGAGATAGTATTCACCAGCACTGTCCACTGTTCTTTCACAACAATCGCTCATTTGAACTTTTCTTCTTTATGAAATCTATCCTTGGATCAAGATATGGACAATTCAACAATATGAACACATCTTTTCCATTTCATCAACCAAAAAAGAAAATAATTGGCATATTCATTCCATCTCTTATTCCGCCTCAAGAACATCGTCTATCGTCTGCTGGTTTTCCACTCTCTAGACTATGGTATTATTTGTATTTTGCTGATGAATGAGAATCTCCTCATGATGGTTATATAGTCGTAGCTTCTATTATAACGCGAGCCTATATGAAACAAAGACCTAAGTTCATATTTTTGCTCATTTGCTCTTTTGATGTATTCAATAGAATTTCACCACAGAACCTCTTCTAATCTGATCGAAATTTAAATATTACATAAGTGTGCTACTTTTGTTTACTTGATAAGTAACTGATACTGTGCCCACAATGGATCCCTCATTTTTCATACGATTCTTCTCTTTTGACGTAAAACTATTTCGCTTTTGTTAATATAAAGACTTCTGCTTCTCCTCCTCTATAATTGTCTTGAGATGTGATTATTCATATATGGTTGCCTGTTATTGTCAGTTTATTTTTGTTGATGACATTAACGCTTTTGTCTATCGTTTTTTCGCTATCTATTCAACACCCTTTTCCGGAGTTTTAGAACAAAGCCACACTTAATGATTTTTGAACATAATTAGACTATTGTACTTACTTTGTTTTTGACGTTTTAAACTGTTTTTTGCGTGTCTAAGTTTAAAGTGGCGACGTCTTTTTAAATTAAAGATAATTTAAATTTAAATAAATAAACTTTAAATAAGAAAATAGTGTGTACATTGGAATAAAATATCAACGTGCTTTTTCTGGAATAGAAGCGAAAAATGGTTTTATATATATATTTATGTGTAGTCTAAAACGAAAACAGCTTAACTCTGAAGATCGCTTTAGATTTTTTGAACTATTCAAAAATAATTTATAAAATTCCTGTTAACTTTTTCTACAGAAATAAATAAAAAGCTTGCGATGCGCTCAGCGTTTTACTTTGAATTAGGTGAATTCTATTTTGGCTAAATTCTATCTGAAAATATTTCTAGATTACTTTGATCTAATTAACGGTTCACTATCATTGGATTATATTAAAAGCGAACCAAAAAGACACCAGCAATGCCTACACGTCCAAATCTTCCAAAAGAACATATAACATTATTACAAAATTTTGTTCAGTTATGTGATAGAAATCCAGAAATTCTGGATTCTCCAGACTTGGAATTTTTTAGAATATGGTTAATTAAGTATGTCTTATTCTATCACTGATTTTAGTATACAGAATATTTCACTGGAAGATTTTTTAAGATAATGGTGTTAAATTTTTCATTTTTAGACTCGGTGCTAAGATTGAGCAAAAATCATCAACAACGTCTGATGAAACTCATGGTTTCGACAATGCATCATCTCATTCTCATTCACATTCGGGTGGTTGTTGTGGTGATCACGAGGGAAGTGAAGATACAAAAAAACAAAATGCACACGAACAAGAAATGAAAGATGAAACTGATCCAGAAAGTGAATTGGGTATGTAATTGAATCATCTTTCTGACGAATACAGTTAATTGTATGAGCGCGTAAGTTTGGATTAAAACATCAGAAGAGTTTGAATTTTTATCATTGAGAAATAAAAAACAAACCAGTGACAGTTTATTTTTTTCTTTGTTCATAGAATTTGATCGAGAAGGTGTTGTTGATCCGGATAACGATGAACCTCAAGTAATGGGTGACCCAGATGCTGAAGTAAGCTGTTTTTAAAATAGAGTTGTGTTGTTAAAAGTGAATAATTGTTAGAAATGGATCTTATTCCTTCAAATATCTCTTCTACATGTCGTTCAATTTATTTTGAAACGATTATGCATGCAGTTTTTCTTTACAAATCGTTTCAGAAAAATAATTCCTTACTATACCAAACGATAAACAATTTAATTCTCTACACGATTGTATATTCATTTTTAAGAGTCATCTTTGATGTTTGGCACAGTAAGTCTATCAGAAAAAGCTCCAAATTTCTTAACCGCACCGCGCAGTTTTAAAGTGCAAACTGCTCTCTTTTTTTTAATTGCTTGTAATGCGAAATGTACGAAAGTATCTGAAATAATTTTATTACAGTCAAATGATAAAGAATTTCATACTTTACAAAAGCGTTTACTTGAAGGAAATTTATTTCAATTGCTAGTGGCTTTAATACATAAACTTCTAAGTGCACCGAAGTTTCTAGCACTAAAAAGAAAACGTTTTGACTATTTCAGTATATAAAATTCAAAGTTCAAATCATTAGTTTATAGACCAAAAAATGCAGAATTTTGCGCTCTATTAGACTGTGTAACTTACAAATAAATCTGCTACTGTTTTTACCAGAAAAACTAGGGAATACTGGCTGTTGCTAAGACGGTCGAAAAATCGGAGATGACCTTTCTTGAAGATCGCTCTAATTTCATCTAAAAAAATCGTTGTTTGTCATTAAAAAGAAACATCACATTTGTAGAAAATTTCTTGCTGAATTGTTCGGTATTTCTTATTTTGTTGAATAAATGATTTTTAGCGAGGTTTTGCGCAAAAAATCGACTTCTTGAAGGTGCATTTAAGAAGTTTGGAGCTCTTCCTGTTAGACTTACTGAGCCAAACGTCAAAGATGAATATACAATCTTGTAGAGAATTAAACTGTCTATCGTTTGGTATAGTAAGGACTTTTTTTTCTGAAACGATTTGTACAGAAAAACTGCATGCATATCGTTTCAAAATAAATTAAACAACCTGTATACAAGTTATCTACATGCATTATTCTATTCTCATTTTTCATCTGCAGTTTATGTAATATTTATGTTCTCTTACGAAGATGTTGCTACTATTTTTAGTTTTGTATTATTTTTATTTTTTTATTTAGTTAACGGATGCTATGTTGGAACAAGCTGATGCTAAACGAAGTGAAGCACAACAAAAATTAGGTGAAGGTCATTTAGATGAAGCAATTAAATTATTTACAGAGGCAATTCAAAATAATCCACAATCGGCCATACTTTATGCAAAACGTGCACAATGTTATGTCAAATTGCAAAAACCAAATGCAGCTATTCGAGATTGTACACGAGCATTAGAAATTAATGAAAATTCGCAACAAGCATTAAAATGGAGAGGAAAAGCACATCGGTTTGTAGAAGAGTAGAAGGGAAAACTGCTTACATCGTACTCGTCCTCCCTTTTCCTCCTAAATAAAAGTTTCTCCTCCTTTTACGTCCTTTTGGTAAAAAATGGGCAAAGTTGACTGATTTTTTACCGTATATGATCAAAGAGCCTTCTTAAAGGCTTAATCATCATATATTGCTTCTTATCTTTGACACAAACATAGTACCATCTATTCTTGTAGTGATTGTTACAATGTGACTTGGATCCTTATTACACTATAAGTATTATTGTGATCGATAGACACTTCTTATCATTGCATGCCGAGTTATCAGTAGTTCTCTATTTGGTATGTGTATTTTTCCCTTTTCTAGATCTCACTTATCTATTTTCCTATCATTGTGTGTCATGTAAACATGGGCGGGACCGGGACTGAGACTAAACAATTTTTTATCAGGCCTGAAATACCTTGGTGCCGTCCATATTTACTATCGTGTCATCAATAATTCTTTTAATGAATATTTTCTTTTTTCTTTCTCTCTCTTTTCATCGTATATAAATATCTTGCACATTTCAAATTCAGACAATTCTCTAGAACTAAATATTCTCTAAGTATTTTCTTTTCTTCCTCTCAATTTTGTAAAATAAAATTTTTCAAAAGATACCAGAATATCCCGTTGTGTCAAGATATGATCAACTTCCGTTGCGCTTATCTATTATGTTAAACTAGTGTTTTTAGCTTACATTTACATCCTTCAAGATTTTGCGATTTCTAATTAATTTCTCCTTTTTTAAGAAAAACTTCAGTACGAAGCCAGAGGTTATGAAAGATTTTGTTTTGTTTATTTTTTTCTAGTATGTTGGGCAATTGGGAAGCTGCTTATAAAGATTTTTGTAAGGCGCAACTATCCGATTTTGACGATGATGTACAGCAATGGATTAGAGAAGTTGAAGTCAATGTAAGCATTTATTTATCTTTTAGGTGAAACCTTTCTTTGTTAATACGTAAAAGTATTGACTAGGGAAAAGAATAAAATTAGCAAAGATCAAATGAGAGTACAATATAGTTTAGTATATTGTACAGTTTTACGTATTTCTTTTTTCAGGCTAAAAAAGTAACCGAGCATAAGCGTAAATATGAACGTAAACGTGAAGAAAAAGTATTGGAAGCAAAACGTGAACGACTACGAGCTTATGAAAAAGCGAAAAAAGAAGAAGCCGAACGACGTAAACATGATTCATCAGGTGAACAAGAATTTCCAGGCTTTCCAGGTAAATGTACTAATTGATTGTCGATTACATTCGTTCATGATTTTTGCTATTTGTAGGTGCTGGTGGAGCTGGTGGCTTTCCAGGCGGCTTCCCAGGAGGTATATAGATAATCTATGATTTGTTCGTAATATTGACTTCTGCTATTTGTAGGTGCCGGTGGAGCAGGTGGCTTTCCAGGCGGTATATAAACAATCTATGATTTGTTTGTAATATTGAGGCTTACTATTGGTTTTAGGTGCTGGAGGAGCTGGTGGTTTAGGTGGATTAGGAGCGTTTATGAATGATCCAGAGATTATGGCCGCATTACAAGATCCAGTTGTTCAAACAGCTTTTGCTGTGAGTATTTTTCTCTTGTTTATTGTTTGAATGGGAGAAAAGTTGCTCCAGTTAGTTTTCATCTATTACCCGAATTTATAAGGAGATTTTATTCGATAGTAGAAAATGAGGGAGAAAGAGAAAATATTATTTATCGCGAAGGAAGTATTGATGCGTCTTAATACAAACATTGATATTTATTTCTCAAAGTTGATGTGAATGATACATTTGGTTGAGTCATTTTGCTACGAGCTATTTATGTTATTTGGCATAGTTATTTGATGCATAGACAGACGTTTCTCTAAACACTTCAGCATAGTCTCAATTCATGAGAGCGCTATTTGGCACGTTTTACTTTAGCTTGATTCAAGACTTCGGTACTTCACTGTAGAATCTAGGTAGCAATCTCATTCAATAGTTAAAAATAATCTTATTACATACTTAGTATTTTTGCTCAATACGTCGTTATTTCTCACGAGTAACGTATTTTTTTTTCTCTACATTTTAGGAAATTAGTAGTAATCCAGCCAAAATTGCAGAATATCAAAATAATCCAAAAGTACGTAAAATTATGGAAAAAATTGCCGGTAAATTTGGTGGTGCCGGAGGAGGAGGAGGAATGCCCGGAGGCATGGGCGGTATGCCTGGGTTTCCAGGTGGTATGGGTGGAATGGGTGGATTTCCCGGAGGAATGGGTGGAATGGGTGGTGGTTCGTCGTCAGCAAATTCTGCTAATGATCTTGATTAATTGAACTAGACAACAACTAATCTCAGGTAACATGTATACTGTACAGTACAGGCTTAATGATGCAACGAGTTTACTTTAACCAGCAGAACTGGACAGAGAAAATGGACGTTCAACTAAAACAGTCTGAAAACACTATTACTTAGACAACTGAATGGAATTGCTAAACTTTTTAACGCATAGTTTTCTTGTTTGAAGTCAGAGTGATATTGTTCTTGTTCAAAACTCCCATCTGAAGAAGAAGACAAAACTACTACTACTGTAAAGGTTTAACATACGCAGATAGATTATGGGAAATATTTGTTAAAGGCATTTCCTATGGGTATTTTTTCGGTTCCATGAAATCAACTGATGACATAAGATGACGAGTCTGATGGAGTGATTTCTTGCGTTTTGCTGGTTACTATTTCACTATGATAGACAACCGAGGCATTTGTCTAATTATTTCATGGACAGATTATTCTTAACCAGAGTCGTTATTCTAAGTAACATAACAGTGGTTTTTTTCTGGGATACTGTGTAAGGTAGCAGGTTCTGGAAGGTTATGCAACAAAACAACAGGATCAGTTTTCTTGAATTGCACTTACTCTTCTGTTATCTTGGTATTTGACTAATTGTACTTTTTTTCCTCATTTAGAAGTACCAAAGAACAACCATTTTTATTATTATTTCCATTTCGTGATTTTATTATTGAACCGCCGTCTTTTTCTTCTTTCTTTTGTCGTATTATTTTCTTTGCTATGTAGACAATGACTGTACACCTGATTTTTATTTTTCACACTGACATTCTATTCCATCATGTGCTCTAAACAAAATAAAAGTGGGAAAATACGCTTTGAATTCTTCTTGGGGACTATATATGTTTCGTAGATGAAGCTCGAACACTTTGTCTTTAGGCTTGTGCCATTGTTACGTGAAACTTTTCTTTTTTCCAAATCTGTGTTTTTCGGTTTATCGTCTTCATTTTGATAAATAAACAAGAAATTTTTTTGCTCTATAAATACAATTATATTGATTATACGTGATTTTTGTGAGATGCGCTTATTTTAGATGTATGGAATATCGTTCGTCTATTTGAGTTCTTATACTTTTCCACTATTGCTTATTTCTCATTCTATCGCCATGTTAAAATGTCGATTTGGAGCGATTCACATGGTCTAATCATCCAAACTCTCCTCTTTCCACGGCACTAAGTCCTTTTGCTTTCACAAAAGTGCTTCCAGATTTTTCAGCAAGGTTTCTGAAAGTCCTAAACAGTGGGAAAAAAATGTCTGTACAGTCAAATATATGAGTGACTGATAAAAACGGTACCGTTATTGTGAAAAAATTTGACCCAAAGAAAAGGCAAACACCTAACCTTAAACAACCTTGAAGTTTGTTACATTTATTTTAAGGAAATGTTTTCCTTTACGTCTCTATGTATTCAAGCTAATTTTTGGTTACGTGTTTTCCCATGATCCAGGATACTTGGAACAAAGTTGTATACATCATTTGATAGCCTGTTTTATTCTAAAGTATGTTATGCTATATTTGAATCCAGAAAAACGCACTTTCGATTTTTTTGTGCAGTCAAATATATGAGTGATTCTGATAAAAACGGTACCGTTATTATGAAAAAATTTGACCCAAAGAAAAGGCAAACACCTACGCTTTTTCTTATCATACATCGGTAGTGTGTACCTAGGAGTATCACAAAACACGGGTCAGTAAACTACCACTACTTTGTTTTCCAGAACTGGAAAACAGTTTTCTATTATCAGCGGCAAAACACCGTGCACTTGGTTGCTTTTTGAATACCTTTTGACAGAAAAGAGCTAGAGAGCTTCAATTTTCGCCATTCGACAGATGAGACTTGGAGGCATGTTTCCATGTGTTTTCAAAACAGTTTCAAAAATCTAGTGAAAGCGTACATTAGGTGAAATATTCCATTTTTCCCTATTTTTGAGTCAGAATCAAAAATTCATAACTCAGTCAAGATCAATCCAAGTTATGTCAGAATATCAGGATGTACTCTATACTCAAAAATAGGCAAAAGCGAGATATGTCACCTAATGTACGCTTTCACTAGGTTTTTGAAACTGTTTTGAAAAACAAACATTGCTTCGAAATTCAGCATAGTCGGTAACGTATGTTTTCATTCATTTCTGACAGTCCCAAACCTAACGGCAGAGGCGTCCTAAAGTTTCAAGGAAAACGCCTGTAGCTCCCAAACCATGGATTTTCGATATGTCGCTTGGATCTGATCTTGTAGAAAACACTTTAGACTAGCTATATATGACAAACAACTCATACATTTCTGTGTAAAACTTTGGAGCTATAAACTGGTTTTCCAGAGATTCATTCAGAAATCTTCCAAAGATCAATGCAAACATTTTGATTTCTGCATATTATTACGTGTCCCGGTCTTGGCACACGATGGCAAAAATCTGATCTCGATAACTCATTCCGTTCTCGAGTTATTCATGTCGCAATCCCCACACTATATTTTGAAATGGATACTAGTAGAGTGCTTTCACACAGGTCCGCCCACTATTATAGAGCACCTTGCCGCGAAAATGTATGATGTCAACGCGATATCAACCTACATGCCCACCGTGAGTTACTCTTAAAACTGCAAAAAAGCTTGTGACTACGATTATTGTACATAGTCGAATCCTCAGTTTTGTTTTTCTTAGTTCATAGTATGGCCAAGTAACGATTTTCAAACAAGTAAAGTATTTTTTTTGAAGTTTTGAGATAAAATATCTGAGAATAATAACTAAAAATGAGATTTTGGACATTTTAACCACTATTTGTAAGATAAGAAATCATGTTCAATAAAAGTTTCCAATGAATCATCGAATAAAAGTAAACAGATATTTGTACTTGGGTTGTTGCTGAATATCTACCTTCTTGTCTTGTTTCTTTTTCGCATTTTTTGGGTTTTGAGCAAAATACAAAAAAAGATGTTAAAGTACAGAAGTAAACGCACATAAACAAACAGGAAACATATAAAAAACGGATAAAATAATAGAAAAGGGAGTGGAGGGGTATGATAAAAAAAACTCAGAGAGAAAGAGAGCAGATCAAATTCATATATTAAATGATAAATCACCTACACAAGAAAAAACTTTTACTAATTTTTCTAGTGGTTAAAAGAAATAAACAAAAACACTTCCCGTTTTTTAACACAACGTGCGCAGACTAAACATTCCTTGCTAATTCATCGTAATTTCATTCCATGATAAATTTTTTTCTGACAAATAAAAAACAAAAACAAACAAAAAACAAAACATAAAACAGACCAAAACAATAAAAGGAGAATAGATAAAAGATGCTTAAATAACGAGGGGAAATGCAAATAATGATTCCTCTCGTTCATTGAACAAATATACGCATATCTCCTCAACTAATCTCATACACGGAAAGAAAAAAAAATGATTTTTCTTTCAATTTCTTGGCTAAAAATCATTCATCAATATCTAGAAAGAAAATGACACTATACATTCTTGAATTGTATACTCACCAATAAAAGAATAGAAGCAAAATATCTCGAGCACATACGGCAATGTGTACAAGAAAGATACACAAATCATAACATATAGACAACAATACAGAAGACATTTATTTAAAAGAAATCGAGCGAAATAAAGCAGCTAAGTATTATTAGGAGTAAATGTATTTTGTATATATTTTAAAAATTTAATTAAGGATTATGCTGCATAAACTGTTTTTTGTATATGTGTGGCCTTTTCTTCATTTTGATCATTTAATAATCTTGTAACAATATTGACACCAGTACCCCATGAATTAATTTGTGGATAAACTAAATCGGATGAATGCTCACGATTATGACCACCTGCATAAATTTTAACATTTTTACCACTTTGTAATTTAAAATTTGGTGGTAATGGAAATGTAATCTCTTGGCTATTATCAACTTTACGTAATAAATGCCAACCCGTTAAATCAATATCTTTATTTTTTGATGTATTCGCTAATGTAACATATTTACCGTCCGGACTACAATCATCAATGTATATTGGACCTAAAACACCAGGGAAAAACTTATAGATACTGCTAATCTTGCATTCAATCATTTATTCAGACAATTCTACCTGATTTATGTGTGTGTATGTTACTTCTGCTTAATGACTACGAAAAAGTTGTAGATAATGAGAAAAAGTTTTCATTTGATGTATCTTTATTTGTTCATAAATCCCTCGGAAAACCATGTAGAAAAATACTACGATCAATTTCAAAATACAGTCTACGTGGATGTTTTTCGAATAGCCGTTGGATGAAATGATAGAGAAGTAAAGTTTTCGATATTTTATTGAGAAGATCTCACTGTAACTGAGAAACTATGGAAGCACTTTCAAAAGTAGATTTTGAGATAAAATATAAGACGGATCTTCGAGCATCAGGTCTCTGCTTCATCACTTCCCTCTACCGACATCTATGATTTAAAGATGTCAGAGGTGGACTACAGCATCCTCTACAAAACTACCCAAGGTTGATAATTCTATCTACCGTGGTTCTCAGATGGTATGCATTTTGCTGGGATCTACCTAACCGATTAGATCAAATGATTATTCGAGTAACTCTAAACATAGTTACTGACCACGTTGAATCTGGTAGCAATGCTTATTTTTCTTAAAAATGGTAACTCATTCACATTGGTTCAAAACACTTCAGAATATAATTTACTCGAGTTTCTATATTCGGCTTCAAAGTACACAAATGGCCGATGTGTAGTTCTGATATTTTTCAGATAACCCTTTAAGATCCATAAGAAGTTCGATAAATTTAGCATCATACAGGCCTTATGAAGATATAAAGCAGCTAAAATAAAGTATTCTGAACCAATTTAAATCTGAAAAAATGGACTTGAAAGTGTATGCACAGGTTGCGAGACGCAGTAAGATCTCTTCTTTAATATGCCAAGCGTCCGAGCATCTTTTTTCACTGTTCTGAAACTTTTTGTCTAAAATCGTCTAATAAAAAAAATGTTCTCAGAAACGAAATTAGTAGTTTCGAGTTCGATAATATCACATTCAAATATGTACATGTCAAAATCGATTCAGAGCGGAATTAGCGAGTTTTTCAGTAATTTCTTTTTTAATTTCAAGCTTTTTTCAACTTTTGACTTCACTGTTCAGACCTATTTTCAGCGATCTACTTTAATTTTGCATTGAATGAGTAACGTATTCTGTCCACGATCATTCGCATTTCTGATGCATTTCGTTTTCTCAGACTTCTGTATGATTAAATAAATGGTCGTCTTCAACATTTTTCTCAATATGTCTACTCAAGTTTGAAAATGTTTTCTAATTAAATATTGTAAATTATCGGTGAGCTCCTGGTGCTTAGAGGGCATATTAATGTACCTCTAGTTGAAAACTTACTCGAATCTTGTTAAGATCTTAGTAAGATTTCTCTTACATTTGTCTGAGATCTGAAGAATGAAGAGAAACGGCACATTGGTAGACATTGACTTATAATGTACACCCTTAGAAAAGTTGTTGAATGTTTTCGAAAGAGCAAAATACGAGCGAGGTCTTGAAGAAAAGTAACACCGTAAAATTCATTTAAATTTGTTATTTTTTATCGATGCATAAGAGAAAATGTTAAGAGAATGAAAGTAGAAACAATATGTCTTATATAAGATCTTAGATTAGTTTATCAAGATCTTACACGATCTTCGTAAGATAATTTTAACAAGTGCCTAAGGAACAGATGCAAAACTATTAAAATGACAGACATACCCTACTAGACACTGTATCAGGTATCAGCGACGTACCTAGCACTTGGCCAAGGGTCCCCGAGAAATTGTATTTTCTTCATTTCGCAGTAAAAAACTATTTTGATTAAAATGGAAAATAAAAATACTACAGAAGAACCTTTTGTACTGTTTCCTTTGTCCAAAAAGAAGGTTTGATCCATCCCTTACTGGAATCCTCGATACATCGCTGTCGGGTATATTCAAAAATTTAAAAGAAGGGTGTATGTCTATTTTCACCGGATGATATCTACAAAACGAAACTATATGTTTTTTCTTTGTCAATATCTGCAGTAAAACTGTATACAAGTTTCTAACAACTGTTTTAATATCTAATGTAGTTCCGAACTGTGACGAGAGTAGTAAAGATTTAACAAAACGTCACCTACCTTTGGAACTTCGTTGAAATGTTGTTTTTGCTTGCATTTCTACTTGACTTATTTTGGAAGTGGTTGGTAGCTCAGTACTAATAAGTGGCCGATGTGACACTGTATTTGTTGATATTATGTCATGTTTTTTTTCGATTGTTTGGTAACGGTTACTTGTATCTTCATATACTATTCGGGATACTTTATTACCAAATTTACCGGCATGTAATTCTTCGCTTTCGAGTAAACGACGATAGGTATTTATTTCAAATTCTAATGATGATTTATTTGATACTATTTCATCGTACGCTACCATTAGACTATTTAATCTTGAACGTAATTCTAATATTTCACGTTCACGTGAATCAATAGCATCGGTATTTTCTACAAAAAGAAGTAAAATATATAAGACTATGTTATCTTCTTAGCACAAGTGCGAAATATACCTCGTTTTAACGTTTCTAATCGTGATTCAAGCTCACTCATATTAGCTAAATGTGAATTATATTCATTTTGTAAATCAGCCATTTCTTTTTTCGTTTCTGTAATCGTTGTACGAATAGTTGTCGATGATTCTTGACTTTGTTGTTGTACAACTTGTTCACGTTTAGCACGTTGTGCTTGTTGAATAACTTCATCCGTTTTAATTTGATAATATTCTTCTAATTCTTGACGTTGTACACGTGATAAATTTTCAAAATCGTTACGTATTTCACGTATAGCACGTTGTAATTCATTTTTATAAAATGTGGTGGGATCAATACCAATATTACCTATAATGAGAGTGGGCAAAAGTGTTTAGTTAAAGACAGGTTACAAAACCATGTAAGTTAAATATCATTGCTACGCCTTCTGCGTTTGATTGTTCTTTATCAGGGTTCCTGATTAAGATGAGGAAGTGGAAGAGATCCTCGCTCTAAATTTCGGCACTATCTGTCAGATTTCGGGAACTTTTGTTCTGCCTAAAATTTGTCTAATCTTTTATTACCCTTTATTACTCTGCACTGCGGAGTAATAAAAGTTCTTTTCATTTTACTAATGTTTCACTTGTTTAGAAAAACTCGTGCGCCAACTTTTTAAAAAGACTGTTTGCCATAAAAATCTCTCCAACTTGATTAAAAACAATCAGGAACTCAGTTCTTTATTGAGAAGAAACTCAGTTACCTGATGATAATGTTCTTAACTCATTCATTTCTTGTTCATGTATAGCCGATAAAAACGGTATTTGTTCTTCAAGTGTTTGTTTTTCATTTTCAGTTTTAATTCTCGCCATTGTTTCAGTGTCTAATTCGACAAGAAGACGACTTATTTCTTCATACAAATGTTTCATTTCATTTCGATATTTTTCGATATCATTCATTGAATCATTCATTAAACGATGAAGATGTTCTAAATAAATACACAAACAAAAATAGTTAAGTTAAAAAGTTACTGAAGATAAGCAAACAATAACCAAACTGTTGAAACGAAGTTCTTTTTTCTCATTTTTGTCGTTGAAAGATGTATTCTTACTTCAGTTAGAGTAAAATTATGCATTATTTCTATAACTTACCTAATTCTGCTTGATTTTCCCTCAATGTTGCTTCTAATGTTGATATTTTTCCTCTATCAGCATTCGTCCATTGTTGTACATCATCGCACAAACGTCTATAATTCAATACATCAAATTCGGCACGTTTCGATTTAATTTCTGCTCGTGCTTTATCGGCTGTTGCTTGATCAATTTTATGTCGTGCATCATTCAAATGTGGTTCATATTCTTGACGTAGTCGATCTGAATCAATACCCCAACGTGAGCGTAATTCATCCAATTTTATTTGAAGTTGTTTATTTGTTCCTTCCAAATATTTCACGCGATCAATATAGGCAGCGAAACGATTGTTAAGCTTGATCAATTCTTGTTTTTCAGTATCACGTTGTTCTTTTATTGCAGCAACAGCTAACGCATTTCCAGCTGAACCACCAAAATCATTACTCGATACTTGACGTATACCATGCTCAACAGTGCGACGAATTGTACGAGTACCACCAGAAGCCATTAAATAAATAATTGTCTTCTTATTCTACGAACAGGTAACAGTCAATAAATCTAAAACAATATAACATAAAGGAAATCTTCTTCCTACTCTAATAGAAAAAATATTTTCTTCAAGTGGAAAAACTCGAACATATACAGAATGTCATTCAGCAGTGCTTATCGTTAAATGACAAATACGATCAGTTTTAACCTTTAGAGATGACTAACACTATTCACGCTTATGATCACTACCTACACGAAAAGAAAAGTCTAATTTATCTTGTGTCATTTCTGTTTGATTTCCTACTACTTTTTTTGATACTTCTGATTATGACGTTTGTTTACTTAGATAACTCTAACATTTTTTCCTCTACAGTATGTAGGGGTAGAAAAGGACATTCTTTCGAAAGAACAATTCTGGTAGTATAGAAAAAGAACTCAAACATATTTATTTATATATCATACATAGAAGGAGAAAAAAATAACCGCATTTACCACAAACAAAGATTTATCCTATTTGTTATCTGCCATATAACTGGCACTGAACTTAAGCCAATAAAAAGAACAGTTTACAGCCTCTCATAAACTGAAAATTAAATTAATTTAAATCTGACTGCAGCAATATGCATCAAAAGACAGAAAATACATTGTGAATATGTCTTACTGTTCATATCACTAGAGAAAAACAACTGCAAATAGCGCTACTTTCTTCATTGTCTTTCAAAATTGAATTCATTAAGAATAGTCGAGAGAAAATGCTGGTTAAGTTAGTAAAATTTGGGCTACTATCACGAAGGAGAAGTCAACGTTCTAAGAGAAAAATAACGAACGCTGAGGATACTTTAAATGTTATTTTGAGCTTAAAGCTCAATAGATATTTGACTAATAAAATGAGTTTTTGACATTTTTGTCGTAAAAAAAAGAACTGCAATAGTCCAGGTAGAACTCAGGTACAGCGTGTATCCGTCTAAGTGGCGAATAATCGTATGTGGAGAACTTTGGTTAAGCTTATTAGTTAGTGTCAGTATACTGATAAATTGATCACCCGGACACTGACATGTTTTTTTTAGTTTTGTACTAGGATAATGTTCCTGAACACAGATTAAACTGTTAGATTATACGATAGGCATCTATGGTCTTTATTCGGCACTGTTAATTTTTGCTGCATTGCAAGTTAGACATTTTTGTCAGATAAAGCATTTTCTTCACCTGTAATCGGTTTGCTTTGTGTAACAGCTAGTCATTCAACAGTTTCGGTTAATCGATAACCGATGTAACAAAAAAAAACTTTTTATTTGCACATATTCTTGAAAATATATTTGAAACAGTATGAAAGAAACACACACAAAGCAAACAGATGACAGGTGAATAAAAACGTCTTATCTAGCAAAAATGTCTAACTCGGAATGCAACGAAAACTACCAGTGCCGAATAAAGGCCATAGTGCCAGTCGTATAATCTAACAGTTTAATCTATGTTTAGTAAAAGTGCAACATTATCCTAGTGTAAAACTAAAAAGATATGTCAGTGTCAGTTTGTCGGTGTGAACACTGACACTGATGCATACTTAGAGAAGCTGTAAAAGTTGTTAAAAAACGTTTAAGAGTTTCAAATATAAAATGTGTAAGAAACGTTTTCCACTTATTCTATTTCACTGCAATGGTATTGCTAGAGCTAGAATAGCATCAATCAAGACCTCACTATTGTTAACCATCAGCAACGTCAAACCAAATATGCTGGAAAAATATCATAACAGCTTCTGATAAATACAACAGTGACAAATAATTTTATCAGATGATACTGAAATGTTTTTCTAAGATAAACATAAAATTGAATTATGTCTCCATCGGTACCAAGAGCATTCGAAGATAACATTAGCAAATTGATAATAAAGTACCTACAAGTTGAATGAAATTTTCAAATGAGTACATCTCAACGCATTTTATAACCTTGAATATTCATACTGAATGTACATGTCATCAACCAAAAACGATCGTATAAATCACGTGAATCTTATTTTCCTCATTATAAATCAAAAAAATTCTCTTTTTACTTTGAAGACTCTAACACTGATGGCACAAACAGATACCATCTAGTATGCGCTATTATCGTCTTTTCTTTTTTTTAAAGTATAGTATTATGTACCATCACCCTAATTATTATTATTGTCATGCATAGAGAGATGTGATAATACAATATGTATGATTTGTTTCTGGCTGTTTGAAAAGAATAAATGTCTCTGATATCTTCTTATCACAAACAACCAAACTGTTTGTCTGTTATCTTTTTCCAGAAAAACATGACATCAAAGCTAGAATTTAATGTGAACCGCATATAGTCAAACGATGATTTCTTATATGGATGCGCAATAGAGATCTCCAACCCGGTCCGAAGGCTTTAATATTATATAATTTGGTAAATCTTGTTAAATTTTTAAGGGATTTTAGGAAATACATAATAATCGCTTCAAGCAGTTTGTACTGATAAACAACAGTAACCGTTGTTTTTATACGACAATGATGGAAATATTGTATATTAAACAAAAAAAGTATGAGAATGATGTGATACAATATGCACAAAAAATGTTTTGTCTAACAAGAAACTTGGCAAAAACATTTTTCTAATTAGATTAGACTGTCATCGGTTCGGGTTTGGTTTTTGTTTTCTTAAGCCGTTTAGGTCATCGTCATCACGTGTAGGTCTTTAATGCGCAATACAGTGCACAACAGATGACAACGTGTCATGCGTTAACGAACTATTAACAAAATATCATCTGTTCTCGGCACACGTCAAAACCCTCACAATTATCTCATCAGCAGTAACAGGAATCGCCTGTTTTGAAATGAATTCGTTAACGTTATTTTTTATCAATGTCATCTATACTTTTATGTTGATGAGAGCGCAGTTTTTAATGGTCATTATGATGCTAATACAACGATAATATGTTCACAATCATTACACCATTCTATTTGTGCGTGATAATAACAATTTTTATTACTTCACATGACTTTTTATTGCAAAGATGTTAAACAAATTATACGATGTATTCATGATATTTAGAAACAACTCAGATACTTTTGAGTATGTCATATACGTTCTATTTTCTTACTAAGACCTTCTTTGTATACAATACAAAAGTAGTTGGGTAAATGATTACTTCTAGAGTTTGTACGAACAAACTATGAACTACACAACGTGTGTCACGAAACAAAAACCTATTGTACATGAGTTCATACACTTAGTGCTTATAATAGGCAAACGTACGACTTTCTTACTGCAGTCGGTTATAGACAGTTCTGAAACACAATATACGAAAATATAGCACAAGCAAAACTTGTCTGTCTTAAAATTTCAACACTATATGGTAGTAACTCTTTACAAAGCTTTCTAAAAGCTATTTTGATGAAAAATCATCTTTAGTCATGGACCAAAATAACTAACTCTGCTACCGTAAAGGTCATTCGGACACTTTTTTCGCTAATTTCTCGTCCTTATATCTTTCGAACAAAATGACGTCTCGAGCTTGCGGATGTCTTATTTTGTGAAGAAAAATGTGCTTAACAAAATTCTATAAATACAACTATTCTATAAATTTTTTAATATATCTCTGTAACCAATGATCGTACAAAGCATTGGGGCATGTGACATCTGAGAGATTTTACTTTCATTTCTCATATAATGAAGTAAAAAGCAATTTATGTGCTTCAATGTATTTCATTTTATGAGAAATGAAATGAAGATTCATAATATGGCTTTTAGAAGTACTTAGCATTTTTTTTGCGGTATTCTTCTCGCAATAAAACCTGGCTTGAAGTAAACTGAGTACATCAAGTTGTAAGTGCTTTTTTAGTGTCAAAAAAACAACAAATTCAGGCGTCTAGGTACACACAGAAAAACAAAACAACACTATTTGTTCTTTATTCAACCTTTTTAGATCATATTCAGTACTATTTAACTGAAAAACTTTCAGAATTTGTAGTCATTTGTCTGTAGGGGTGGGAAGTTCCAGTTTGGTTCTTTTGAACGGGAACTGGTGTTCTTATTCTGAATATTCTTTTAAAAGAACGCGAACTGGCTATCAATTCTTTTCAAGAATTCAATATAAAATAAAACTGGTGAACCTAGTTAAATTGACTTTGTTTAATGGGCTATGGGTAGGTGGTGCATTCAGTGGACTAAACAAAGTCAATATAACTAACCTAATCGGTTTTATTTTACATCTAATTCTTGAAAAGAACTTGTAGCCAGTTGGCGTTCTTTTTTTTGAAAAGAATATTCAACAGTTCCCGTTCTTAGAATGAGAACGGCTAATCAGTTCTTAGGAATGGGAACTGTCCCCCCTCCCAATTCCTCACCCCCCCCAATTTTGTCTGAATTCTATTCCAGCATCTATTTTTTAGTCACGTCACGAATAGTGGGGTACTTATTTACTTATATTTACCTTTTAGGTCTTCAAAATGAACAATATAAATTGCGCACGTCAGATTACAAAATAATTTTATTTATTATTCCTCTCAGCTATAAAAAGGTTTGTTTTTGATGTTTTTCTTCGTTTTCTGATGTTATTAATTCGAAGATTAAGTTAATGTGGTTGATGTAAAATAACAATGGTGATATTTCTAGTGATAGAAGAGAAGAAAAAAATAAACCACATATTTGAAGAGTAACAGCCGTCATGTGGCTATGCAACCACCGAAGATTCGGGTTTTTTTTTTTCTTTTTGGAGAAAAAAATAACAACACGCACACACATAATAATAATTCACCAGGTAATATGAAAGTAGTTGTAATAAAAAGCAACAAAAATATTTGTATAGTGAAATTTAGGTTTAAAAAAATTGAATGAAATTAAGAAAAAACAACTTTTTAGATACTGTTTATAATTGTGGTACAATCAGTCATCATGATGGAATGTTTGACATCAGTAACACATAGATCATAAATAAATGTCAATCTTTAAGATTTATGCTTTACTGATGACAATAATGGTGATATTTTTGATGATAGTCTCCAGTTTTTCGGT